TAGTCCTCCACTTATTGTGTCAAAATCATATTCGAAGGACTAAAAGTGTCAATATGATAATACTTGAGGGACTGAATACGGATAATTTTGAGGTCGAGGACTAAAAGTGTCTCTCACACAATAATCGAGGATTAAAAATGGAATAATTGAAAGTCGAGTACCAAAAGCGTCACCGACACAATAATCAGGGGACCAAAAGTGGCAAAAACTCGGTAATAATACATTAAATTTAAGTTCTTACTCAAGAGTATAGTGATCATCAAAGTATAACCAAGGAGCAGCATTCACGTTTTCAACTATGGGGTGAACAACTTTGTTGAATGAGAGTGTAGGATCCATCGATCACAGGATGGGCATAGAATTGTATATACTACGTGAGTATATATAATTGCATACACATGCACTAAGGATGAAGGACTCCGTATATATTGATGTTATGCATCATAGTATGGGTTGCTTAATTATTATTTATTACAAGTACTTAGTAAATCGTACATTCATTGACCACTAATTCAACATTAATACTATCAATTTCAGCAAACATACAACTTATTTTGACTGGTCCTGATACAAATTAAAGCTACTTGGAAACATAGAAGAAAGGAAAATTTCAAGTATAAGAATGTAACTAAAGCTTCATTTACCAACGTTGAAACTACCAAAATCAACTAAATTTGCCGAGACTTCTGAAATGTTGGCATGAAGAAGAGATGAATTATTAAAAATTATATTGGCTCAATCTCGTGAATTATGAATAATTATACTACTATTTTAAATATTTTTTTAATTTCATTTTATAAGAAATTACGGAGTATATTACTAGCACATTTACCAAGAAAGAAAATGCAATGACTCAGGGTCGTTGTGTTTATTTCACGTCCTATGTACGAGCAATCATGTTTTTAATTAGATTGATTTTTTTTCTGATCTCGTCTGTTCTGTTTAAGTTTGATTTAGTTTGGTCTGAATTGGCATGGTATGATCTGCGTTATTTAAGTTTGGTTTAGTATGTTTAAGTCTGCTCTGGTATACTTAAGTTTGGTCTGGTCTGGGATTTAAAATAGCCCAAATAAAAACATCCCAATTCTCGGTTGGCTTATTTAGAAAAGAGAAAATAATTTTAAATAATATGAGTACCAAGGTGTGTGTGTGTATACTAACTTTGAAAGTGATTTATAATAATACTAACTACTCCATATTTGAATATATAACAAAACAATATGAAGTCACTTTTCGATAAAAAATATAGTCATTTTAGATATCAAAAACTAATATCAAAGTATCAATTAAATGATATTTAATTGAAAATATGACCACTTATTTGATATTCTAATATTAATTTTGGACGGGTTATATGACTAATTTTTTAAAGAAATATTGATATATAGTACATATCACTTTTGATTTATGTTCAAATAGTTTGTATTATTAAAATTTATTTCCAAATTATGTATTATTCTTGATTCGTGAAAGATAATTTATATTATTTAAATCTATACTACCTTTTAAAATGTCATAACTCACACTTATTAATTAATAGTGTGAAGTGATGAATGAATGATGATCCACCAAGTTACGGACGAATCAATGACCGATTCGTGCAATAACAGGATTTTTTAATTGTACGAATAATGCTTTCTTCCTCACAATTCAAGATTTACATACCGAGCCATTACATCGATTATATTGAGGGATTATGCCTAAATTTATGAAGTTGTAGCTAAAGTGGCTTAATTGGCTGATTATGCTGATTTATGATAAAAATATTTAAAATATATTTTATTAATATATGAAAAACAATTAAAATGATCATCTACGTTAATTACATCCAATACAATCAGAAAAGTAACTTCAACCTTACTTTTTCTTATTATTACACAATTTAGTGCACATAATCAAAAGCTAAATGTTTGGTGAAAAAATTGACCGATAAGCCTGATCTGATAAGCCAAAAAACAATCATCAAATAGGTAGGCATGGACCGAGCCCGGCCCGGCCCGGGCTCCGGGATGGGTCGAGAGTGAGTTTTAGGGATGAAGGCCCGGTATCAGGCCGGGCCGGGCTACCCGCCCGAGTCTCGGGTCAGGTCGGGCCGAGTTTTTTTTTTTGAAATCCAGTTTAAAAATTAATTCATGAAGTGCTAGACAATAAAAAGTTAAAGTATATTTATATGAAATAAGAACTACACTTGAGAATTGAGAAAAAATTAAAACATTAAATACATTTCCTAAAAATCAGTCGGTTGTTGTTTCCTCCATGAAGTGGCGGGTGGGGCGATGCTAACTTCTTGAGTTCTACATACACTCGGCCTTCAACCAATCGTGGAAGCAAACAAGCGTCTCAAGAGATTTTGCGCTCAATCTCGTTCTATAAACCGTTAGGAAGTTGCCGGCCGCACTAATTTCTTGTTCCACGACAACTGTTGATACCGACAATGCTAGCACTTGCTTAGCCATCTTTGATAAACTCAGGAACGTTCTTTCTTTGTCCTTCCACCACTGCAGAACGTCAAAGTTATCTCCGTCTTCATAGTCAACAGGAAACGTGAGAAATAAAGAAAGCTCGTTAATCGAGCTTTGTGCAACATCGGGAGTTGATTTACTGTTTTTCATAAGATTTCCAAATGTAGATTTCAAAAATGATCTTCCTTTAGATGAAGAAGATGTTCGTGTCAGTGGAGAGGGTGCATTACCATATGGTGCATGAAACTCATTATATAATTGATGGAATAAGTTACTAACCTCATTGTATTGCTCTTTAGGATGTATGAGCTTATCTTCGTACATAGGAAATGGACCAAAAAACAAGCATAATAGTACTCTAAACATTGTTGAAAAGCATTAAGTTTGAAACGAGGATCAAGAATAAATGCAATACCATATATATGCGGAATATGTGAATAATATTTTAAAAACTTTTCTTTCATGAAATCACAAAAACAATGAACATAAGGGGCATCAGAAAATTCACAAAAAGCACCGGCGAGATTAACTAGTTCAACAAAAAATTGGTTTGAGGTAAGTTTATAAACATGACTAAACGTTTGAGTTGCAGTATTCAAATATACCAAAACATTCACAATTATTTCCATAGTGTCGATGTCAGTCGAATTTACAATATAGTTTGCATATTCTTTTTAAAAAGCGGGAAAATGGTCTTTAAATCTAATAAGTACAACAATTAAATTATAAGTACTATTCCAGCGAATAGACAAACATTTAAGAAAAATACAATATTTCACATGTCTATCCCTCATATATTGAAGACATTGCATTTTAAGCGGATTACTAGCCCAAATAAGTCCAATTTCCCCTTCACTATCTCCATAGCATCTCCTAACGTGGTATAGCCCGTCTTTTACACATAAATCGAGAATGTGACGTGCACAAAGATGAAGAAAAAACTTACCCATCAAAGTAGAAGGACCACACAATTCACGTAATCTAGGTATAGCAGCAGTATTATTACTAGCATTATCCAAACCCATAACAAAAACGTTATCAATCAAATTATACTCAATTAAAATGTGCTCAATATAATGAGAATATAAATATTATCAGCGGTGTGTCGGTTATTAAATTCACGAATAGCAAGAACACGTTTATGTATTTCCCAATCATTATCAATATAACGTGCAGTCACACCCAAATAATACAAATGATGATAAGTATCCTCTCATATATCACTACAAATACTGACACGTCCATCAATGTTTGCGAAAAACATTTGTAATCTCTCCTTTTCTGAAACATATTGCCTTATAACTTCTTTTTAAATAGTTTTGGGACTATAGTTTCTAAATTGAGGAGTTAAAGATTTTTGATCATAAGCTTTTAAAGCAAGACTTTCAGAAAAAATAAAAGGTAAATTTTCTTCAACAATTAATTCAGACACAGTAGTAAAATTAACTAAAATTCCAACTAGTTTAATAGTTCAATTAACTAAAATGCAACTACTTTTATATTTTAATCTAACAAGTGTAGTAAAATTAACTATAATTCCAACTACTTTAATAGTTTAATTAACTAAAATTCCAACTACTTTTATATTTTAATCTAACAAGTGTAGTAAAATTAACTACGAATGCAACTACTTTTATATTTTAATCTAACAATTTTTATATGTGTTGGTCTCGGTTATACAAGGAACGGTCTGGGAGGGGTTAATAGACTGTTCTGGTTTTTAACTTTTTCAAGTCTAAGCACAAGACTTATTAGAATAGTCAGTTCTACAGAAGAACTAACTGGCAGCGGATAGATTTTCAGCTAGATGTTCTGGTCGAGCAGCCTTCAAAACACACCAAGGCAGTTGCCTTTCTGTTAACTCTTAGGACTAGATTTGTTGAACACAAAGTCCAAGTCTTTGAAAGTTAATCAGTGAGAATCTAATGCAAGAATGAAAAGTAGTAAGTAAATGACGTGTTCCTCTAAACCACTGTTCCACTAATCTTGTAAAAGATCAAGTTACATAGCCTTGGTCCTAGCTGTGAGTGTGAGGGAAGATTCCGTGAAACTCTGATGGATTAAGGACATGATTATTCCAAACGTTCTATGTTGTCGTTGACCATTGACTTTCATTACATCAATGTGACTTGCCACCTCATATAACAATCATAATATTTCCAGCCATTTGTCATTTGGGATCTAATAAGAAAATATCTTGTCTTGAATATTAATGAAATCAGCCAATTCAATAAAGTGAAATTACCCTAAATAGGAATAAAAACGTTTGTGTAATCCAAAATAAAACTAGTATGTGTTTATTCCCTGAATATGACTACTTACTGTAATGTTTTGACAGTATCAGACTTTAAACATGACATTATTTTCCAAACTTGACAATAATTACTCTTATTTTGAGAATAAAAACATGAAATTCCTATTTTGGAATTTTAAATCTCTTTTATTCCTATTTCGAGAATTTTCTTTTTTCCATAAATTAAAAAAATTTAATTTTATGAAACGGGCTGTAAATTACGGTGTTGTGGACTAAGATACTAACCTCGCTAATGAGCCTTGGCAGCCCAAATTCCTACCGGCTCGCGTGTCTTTCTAAAATGAAAATGGAATTGTAATAAAGGGGAAATCCTAGAAACCGATTCTGAACTTTGTCTCTCTTCAAGAGCTCTCTCTCACAGACAAAGACAGGCATCAATGGCGACTGCACGTGAGGAGAACGTGTACATGGCGAAGCTTGCAGAGCAAGCTGAACGGTACGAAGAGATGGTGGAGTTCATGGAGAAGGTGGTAGCGGCCGCGGACGGCGCCGAGGAGTTGACCGTGGAGGAGCGCAACCTTTTGTCCGTTGCCTATAAGAATGTGATCGGCGCTCGCCGTGCTTCGTGGCGTATCATCTCGTCAATTGAGCAAAAGGAGGAGGGCCGCGGAAACGAAGACCACGTTGCCTCAATTAAGGACTACAGATCTAAGATCGAGTCAGAGCTTACCTCGATCTGTAACGGCATTCTCAAGCTCCTCGACTCCAAGCTCATCGGCGCTGCTTCATCCGGTGATTCAAAGGTCTTCTATTTGAAGATGAAGGGTGACTACCACCGCTACTTGGCTGAGTTCAAAACTGGAGCCGAGAGAAAAGAGGCCGCCGAGAACACACTCTCCGCCTACAAGTCTGCCCAGGTTTTTTTCTGCCAGAGCTAACATTCATTTTTTTTATCAACATTTGGTTTATGAATGAAAATGTAAAATTTTGTGTTCTTAATCTTTTCATATATTTATACAAGCGATACTTTACAAATTACAATGTCGATTTGAAACTTGAATACCGTAAGTAATAGGCTGTTTGGACAGGAAATTGCCAATGCGGAACTAGCTCCTACACATCCCATTCGTCTTGGCCTAGCTCTCAACTTCTCTGTATTTTACTATGAGATCTTGAATTCTCCAGACCGTGCTTGTAATCTTGCCAAACAGGTAAGTACTTAGGACCCCTTTTGCTCTTTGTAATGTATTTCTACAAACAGTAATGCCTTGGGAATCAGTTATCATTTTCTAAATTTCTGTTCATTGATAGCTCATGGTGCCTTTGGAGTGTTTTTCAGTTGCTGTTTTGATTATGTGCAGGCCTTTGATGAAGCAATTGCAGAGCTTGACACTTTAGGAGAGGAGTCCTATAAGGACAGCACTCTGATTATGCAGCTTCTTCGGGATAATCTCACCCTGTGGACATCAGACATGCAGGTAATTGATTCTTTTGTTTCTTGTTGACTATTTCCTGGACTAGACATTATTTATCTAAGCATGTAAGCCTTACAAAGGGTTCTATACTTCTATTGATTATAACACATGTGGCATCATCTACTTAGGATGATGGAGGAGATGAGATCAAAGAAGCTGCCAAACCCGATAATGAGCAATGAAGTCATTGAACCTTTTGAAACTTTGAAGAAAGCCTTGTTTTAGCTTGCTGCCAGGTTGAAATTGTGCTTTCTAGTGCTAGGCTTTATTTCAAGTATTTGCAACTTCTGAAAGAACTACTTTATATTTTATGTTTCTAATCCTTGGTTCTTAGTAATTTTTTCCTACTTGGTTTTGTCATTGGGATGGTTTCCTTTTCCTCAAAGGAACTTTGCATTAAGCTATTTTTTTTTTACGATATACCTATTATCATAGTTTAGTTTTGGAAATTACCTCTCGAATTAATTGTGTTCAGTATAGTTCACCAATCTTGATTTTTTGGTATACATTGTGAGTTTGTGACAGACACCACATTGCACATGACAACTTTCTATGGTAGGTGGTGTTGACAATACATTTTTGCCATCAAGTAGGAAGTTTCCACCCCAAAAATTGAGAGTGTTTTTGTTTTTCTTAAACTTTCTTTCCTAATGATACTCTTAGTAGGCATCTTTCTTTTTGTCTAGGTGTTTTATCCCTTTTCTTTAATTGAAAAAATAAGAAATTCTAACCATTTAACTTTGTCCACATGGTTGTAACTCAATTGGAGGAGCCATTTACACATCTTTTTTGTCTAGAGTATGGGGTGCACAAAAATCTGTAGCAATGTAACTTTCACTGGAAAAGGTTTAGCAGGATGAAAACCACAGTTTTTTGTAAACTCCCGCAACCAAAGCTTCTTTTTGACTAAATAAAGCTAGATGTCAATAGGCACTTTTAGCTAATCTTTATTAACTTTACAGTTGGTTTGATAAAACGCTTTTTGTGGATAAATTGAATGGCCTCCCTGTCCTCTGGGGTGATCATTTACGATATGGTCGGTCTGCGTTGTACGTAGTATTTGATTTATTGTTGATCCGATATATGCTGATTATACATGCACACAAATATTCCTATCCGGCCTCCGGCGAGACCGGACAGGAGGGGGTCCGGCCACCTCAATTTGATGTGGTTCCCAGTGGTATTTTTGGCTGATTGTTTTTGTGCATGTTCTTCATCGAGTCTAGTTCATCCATACCAAATTTGAGCAAATAATTCAATCGGGAAAGTTGTCAAATGATTTTTGAAAGATAACTGCGTTTTATATGTATATCCCGATTAAAGATGTTGATATTTAGAAAGCACAATAAAAAGAGCATTTTTCTTATTATTCTCTTGAGAAAAGAGTTAAATAAGGCCTTCTACTATTATGAAATAGTCATATAAGGTCATTTACTCAATAAAGTGTCATGAGTACTTCTACTTGTAAAAAACAATCAAATGAGTCCTAATGATCTATTTAAAACCTCTTAATTCTGGATTCAACATACTTCTTCCATCTTTTTAGAATACATTATACTGCATATGTCGAATATTTAACTAAGATTGGCTGAAATACAAGTCAAAAAAATCGACATGTAAGCTAAAATCGGGATTAGGAGGTGTTAAATAAGCTGTTAGGACTCATTTGATTGATTTATACAAGTAGGTATTTATATGACACTTTATGTAGTAAATGACTATTTCATAATAGTAGAAGACTTTATTGGACCCTTTTTTCTTTTCTCTTCGATCGATGAATGTATAACGTTCAACATACGCAGTAGGCCATTAATTAAGGCCAAGATTAGGTATTTGAGGAATGGAAGTGAGACATATACTCCCTCAGGTCCTTAATTAATTTTACACTTTCCTTTTTGGGCCGTTTCATATTAAATTTTACACTTCTTTATTTGCCTTATTTGGCAAACAAATCTACAGTAAACAGTGTCAAACAGTGGCAAACAGTGCCAAAGTGCTAAACAGTGTCAAACAGTGTACTCTACAGTAAAGTCAAATTTATTTTCTTAAAATGTGTGAAGTCAAAGTGTAAACTTCATTAAGGACCGGAGGGAGTAGGTCTTTAGCTACGAAAATATAAAAAAGAAAACATTATTTTGGCTACTCGTGGACGGGATTGGATGCCCGACGGAGCCTTTAACCTAGTTCACTGTAATTACCACCACTCGTTAACTTTCAGCAAGCTTGACCCATTGGCTGGAACCAAGTACAATTAAAAGACTATTAATTAGGGATGGACCCAATCGGGCCGAACTGGCTCGGGAACGGATGGCCGGTTCCGGGCTTTAGCCCGGTTTGGGCGGGCCTGGCGGTTCGGGTCGGGCACAGCTTTTGTTTTTCAATTTTTTTTCTTTTCCTTGGGTAGGCCTGGCCCGGCTGAGTGTTTTGGGGAGGTTTGAGGGGTCGGGGTGAGGGGGGGGGGGGGGTCGGGGGTTAATTAGAAAGGTAAAAATAATAATACATTGAACCGGCCCGACCCGGTTTGGCCCGGACCCGTTATCAACCCGGGCCGGTTCCGGGCCCAACATCCTGAAAAAAGCCTGGTTTGAACCGGCCCGGGCTCGGTACATGCCTACTAATAATTAGTAGATTTGAAAATTACAGAACTAAAATTGCATTTGTCCCAATTCTCCACATATGAGATAACTGCATAAAAGAACCTTAATTATTGGTATTGTGATACTTTAACTCTTAAAAGATTGCTTAAAAAAAGAAGTCTTAAAAGATATTAGTATGAATAAGTATCATAGTTACATATACATGTTTGAAATAACAATACTATTCAAATTTCGAGTAAAGAATCCTACATGACGGCTAAAATTTTATGTGTAGAGTCAAATTCGTTGGTGGCATGGATAAAAGTAATGTACAATGGACTGTACGAATAGAATTCCGACGCACCACGTACGTATGACATTTTGGTAGGAAATTTGAATAGTAATGCTAGTTGAAACATTTAAACATAATTGCGATGCTAAATTGTTTCATTTAAGAGTCGATGTATTAGAGTGTAACAATACGAATAGTTAAGATCTCGTTTATGCATTTGGTTCTCCATCAATGGATCATTGGTTAATTAAATAACAGGGTTGTTCCGTTTGTATGGTTTAGTAGGTTATCCAGAATTGGACCCCCAGATTTATGGGGCCCCATTTTTTTAAAAAATTATTAGTATTATATAGTAATATTATATATTACTACTAATCAGTAAAATACAGTTAGTTAGTGAAGGAGTATATGGACTCTGATCCACCAGTTTGTCGACTATTGGGCCTAGAAAGCGGCTCACACACGACTGACAGATGTCATTTATATCATTTATGTTATTGTAGAGTTCATATATCATTTGTAAGTACTGGATTGGTCTTTTGTGTAGTTGGGCCTATCAGTCCAATATTAGCGGTCCGACCCATTATTTCTCGATTTATACTCCTCTTAGAGCCTCTTGTAAAGGTAAGCCACAACTTTCATATTCATACGCAACACACTTTTATCTCTTTCTCCTTCTTGTTCAATCTCTCCTAATTCTAGGAGATGGGTATCGATTATCCATCAAATGGTGCTCTCGTTGAGTGATTTGAACACAATCAAGTGAGAAATCCTCCCAAAAACATCCAAAAATTCATCCCAAATACAAAAGATCAGAAAAAATCAGCCTAGAAATGGAAGAATCTGGATTTTCAAGAATCTGTCGGAACTGCCATCGCGGTGCAAGTGCCCATCATGCGCCGTTCGTTCTCCGCCAGCCCCAGGTGAGGAAGAAGGACTCCGAAAGTTCTTGGATCCACTACTCTAGGCCCAGTCAAGTCACAGGGAGCTGGTCTCGCGAACTGAACCCAACACTGGAGCTTTTCTGGTGCGAACTGAGCCCCGGCAGCGTCAGTCAACCAGAGCATCCATGGACGTTGTGATTCACGAAGCACGCTCACCTCACCGTGTCAGCTGGAGTTTGCTCGCCGTTCCAGGTCTCCTCCTCCTCTTCAATCGCCTCTCGCAGCTCGACCTCGAGCTTTATGAGCTTCCGCCATTTATGGCGTTGGGAAGCTCTGCTTCCCATAGCCATAGCCGGATTTGCACGCCCGCGCCTCTCGCACTCTTGCGCCGGATTTGCTCGCCATAGCCAGTAGAGAAGTCTGGTAGGCTGGTAATATATGGGTGAAATACCATCAGCTGACTACGAGATCCCTTCTGTTGTCGGTGGCGTTAGAATAGGGCTGAAGAGCCGCCTCCATTTTCTCCTCTAGACCTAACGCCTACGGGAAATGAGCGCTGGCCACACGTTTGAAGAAGGGCCTCCTAGCGCAGATTGTTAGCCATCAGATTCCGCTGGGAAACTTGGGCGAAGACAGGGCAGCAGTGGGCCTGGCAACATGTGATCCAACTAATCAATTCAAGGAGCCTCAATTTCAACAACATGTTTCAGCCCAAGAAGTCCATTATTTCGGGCGACCCAAATAAGAGCTAAGTACCCGAGCAACCCTATACTCCTAATGCATTAAACATTAAATAGTAGTAGTAGTATGATTATTACTATTATTATTTAATGTTATTATTATTATTATTATTATTATTATTACTAGTACTACTACTACTACTGATACTGCTACCGCTGTCGCTGCCGCTGCCGCTGCCCCTGCCCCTACCGCTGCTGCCGCTGTTATTATTATTATTATTATTATTATTATTATTATTATTATCATTATCATTATTATTATTATTGTTATTGTTATTATTATTATTGTTATTATTATTATTATTATTATTATTATTATTATTATCACCACCGTCACCGACTGGTCAAAGTCCCCCGACGTAGTGCGAGCCAAGCTCTGGGCTTCTCGGCCCATCTCCGATCTTTTTTATTAAATGATCCAAGCTTGCTATAGGTCCCTCGACCTAGCCTCTGGTGATCTTTATTTGAACACAAGAGCGTCTCCAAAAACCCGTCACCCCGATGACACAATTTATCAGTTGCGGATTGTCCTCGGCCAATCTCACGGTACCAAGTGCTAGGCCAACGGCCAAGCCCACCATCGACTACATCATAGCACTGAGTGTTTTATCCACGAGGACTTATAATTCTCATTTAAGCCGTCTTTCTTGAGAGCGCTCTAATTCATGACGATACCAAGTATCACACTGAGGGGTTCCAAGTACCCAACTGCGGAAGTACAACCCAAAAGCCCACAACGGGATCAAGCCCTTAACGACATTAGCCCTTAAATGAGATTAATGTTAGATAACCACTGGGCGTAACTAGGAATCAAGCCCACGAGAGAAACCCTCAACAAGGCCAGACTAGTGAGGCTGGAATATTCCTAGGGCTGACGTGGCACGCTATCATTAGATCGGCAGCTGACAGGAGTTAACGGCAGGAACGTGGGAATAAAGGAACAATCATTGCACAACGGCCAAGACGTTACAAGAGTCCTATTCGAACTAATGTGTAATTAATACGGAGTACATTTATTGTATCGGTTTCCTTTTAAATCACTAGTTCCTTAGCCTATAAACTATGTAGCACCGATACCGGTACGCGGAATCGCGGAAACGCGGACACGGGTACGGGGATACGGCAAAACAAAAAAAAGTATGATACGGATACGGGGCCATATTTTTAAATATTAAAAGTTATGGGGGTGTATTTACAAATATTAAAAGTTACAGGGCTGTATTTATAAATATTAAAAATAGTTTTTTTTGGAAATATATACATATAATATCCTATGAAATATACAAAAAATAATAATTTTTTTGAATATATATATCCTAAATATACACATATACCCATTCATTACATATACATCATAATATTTCTTATATACACTAGTGCATCTCGAAATATAAATGTAGACATGTAGTCGATAAGTCATTAATTTAAAATGAGAAATAAGTCAAACAACTACAATTTTGAAATTAAAAGTGCAAGTACCAAAGTTCTAGAATAATTAAGATAGAAAACAATATTTTAAAAGCTCTAACATCTAATACATATTTTCACTGGAAGTATTAATTTCCAGGAATAATATCATCTTCCAAAAAAACTGCCAATGATACGGGTATCCGTCAGGATACGAGTATCGGAAACTTTCAAAAAATTACAAAAAAAAATGGAAACTTTTAAAAATTACAGATACGGCCCGGGAACGTACGGTACGGGTATCCTAGAGTATCGGATACGGGAACGTATCCGATACGCCGATACGCTACCCTAGGGAAGTATCCGTGCTTCATAGCCTATACATATTACTTGTAAATCTCGTGAAAGGGGATCGAAACTCCAATCAATAAAACACTGCCTTACGCTGCTATATTTTCATCTACTTTCGTAGATTTACCTCTCGTAGTTGGATTAAACTCCATCAATAGGAGATGCTAGTTTAGGTATTTTATATCATTTTCTTCATCTATGAGCCTCAAAGTTCTGTTACTACGCCGTGTTAATTTAGGGTGGGGTATTATAATTGAAGTGTAAGGATGTTTGTACTTCGACTGAATTTTTTTGATCTAGTTTAGTTTTGACTCAAATAAGTCTAATTAAAAATACCATAAATAATGCATGACAAAAATTAACTCACGCGTGTGGGCGACAATTACTTTCAACAACAAAAATGGCAGTTTTGTAACTACATACGTAGTACTACCTCCGTCCCGCTGTTATTGTCCCATTTCGGTTTACGATGCTTGACTGACGATAAAGCAAACAGATCCCTATCCGAACTAGAATTATTTTTAGAAAAAAAAAATTGCATATTCAGAAACTACATTAAAAATTTTACAAAGTCGCAAAAACCAGAATCAAATTCGATAAAAATTCGATAAATAAAGTAAGAGATTAAGAGTGATTTGTATTAACCAAGTGAATAGGAAATGAGACAATAATAGGGGGACGGAGGGAGTATATTTTTGCAAGTCATTTTTATTCCAAATCAATAATTTGGCCATTTGGGCTGTAAGCAAATGGCGTAGATGGTTAAACGGGCCGCAAATTGCTTGTTTCTCTATATGTGTATGGAATAATGATGATGTTAACGGTAATTTCGGTATTTTGGCACTTCATTGCGTCTTTGTCTTCCTAAATAAAAGGGAAATGAAAGTTCTACAGGGATGAATTGTTCCTTTATTTTAGAAAAGAAGATTTCTTTTGAAAAGCTTCTACCTTGAATTCTGGAATTCCCCCATGTGTGTAAATGTGAAATGTCCAACAACTTTAGTATAAAGATATATCTGAATGAATTATTTCTCTAGTCGACTGGTCAATCCCAAATTCAAAAAAGTTGGGAGTCCGAGCATGAACAATGAACAATATTCTCTAAATTCAAAAATTAATTGAGAATAAAAACAAACAAAAAAAACAAATTTGATTGTACTTAGAAAATCTGGCAATGAGATGATCTTGAGTACAAAGCATGAATAACCAAATTAAACTAAGCATTTCCAAATCATACACTCTTCATCTATAATTTATCTTAGCACCGAAGTGATTTAGGTGTGGATTTGTTAGTGTTTGAGACGTTCATTCTCCCGAATAAGCAAAAGCAGTGCACCCTCTTTATCCGCCAGGGCATCTTTGAGTTTAGAGTTCTCGTCTATAGCAATGTTAGAAGCTGCTTTAGCAGCATTAGCTTCACTTATAGCCTGCCTCAATAGGTCTCTCAGCCTAACGCTTTCCCTGTGTGCATCGTCCCGTTCTTCCTCCGCTCTTTTTATACAGCTCACGAACCCCACCTCTTTCCCGTTCCACGCCAAAAGCGTTTCCTCGGCTTCTAGTCTCAACCGCTCGACCGTGTTTTTGTGTACCTCCATTTCTTTTTTTGCCTCCTCGACCTCCCTTTGATACCTCTCTTCTTTCCTCTTCATTCTCTCCTTCAATTTTGTGTTCTCCCTCTTCACTTGATCCAACTCCAATTGGGTTGCGCTTAGTTTGAGCTTCACATCCTCCTTAGCCTCAATCGCTTCTCCCGCGACCTCTTTCAATGCCAATGCCAATCCATCCATAGCCTTTTTGCTCTTCTCCTCGGCCTCGGTCGCGGATTTCAATTCGCTCTTGAGCGAAGCAACCTCCTGACGCAAACTTTTGATTGTTAATGATGCAACATTTTCACACTCTTCTATAATCACTTTGGGTGGGCCCGATTCCTCAATCAGCTTGATCTTCTCGTTAAGCGATTCAACTTCAAGCTTGGCATGCTCCAACGAGATAAGAGTTTTCGACTCCGAGGACTTCTTGTTCTCAAGTTCCTCTTCCAACTCTTTGATTCGGCTTGTAAGGTCGGACAACATTTGGCGGGACCGCTCCGCGGAAGCTTCGGCATTGCTCACTGCCTCTCTCAAATTTTCTTCAGCCACTTCTCTTTCCACTGCAGCCTTATCAAGTTCTGCTCTCAAATTCTCAATGTTTAAGGATTTATCATGCAATTCCTTTTGTGTGCTGTACAAAATCTCTCTCAAGTAATTAGTCTCGTTAACCATTTGCTTCATCTCCCTAAGCTCATCAAGAGCTCGGTCTCTCTCAGCCTCTAAACATCCTAATTGCTCTCTTAACACCTTTATCTCCTCTTCTAGCTGCCACGTCGGCATTTCCAGTACTCTACGGCTCACATTCTGTGATCAATCAACAGATAAAATAATGGAAAATTATAGAATGCTCTTTTTGACTTTTGAGTCTTAGTCAGATTGGATTGAAAAGCTTGAAATCAATTGATATAAGTTTTCATAACGTTTAAGAAAACTCCATTTCTGTATATTTAATCGAAGAGGAATGAGATACCTCCGATGAATGATCAGAGATGGAAGGTTTCCGTTCGAGTGAAACGACGGCCTTCGAATCAATCTGTGCGCCTGGAGAATCGCCTCTGCAGAGCTTTGTTCTAGACAGGATCGACGGATGGCACTTGTTTCCAGATCTGTAAAACAAACATTATTAAGATCAGATACATTTCTAGCGCATTCATATACAAATATATGTATATGCTAATATGCATGAATGAGTAAGATGTCCAAAATTAAGATTTCCAATCCCAACATGATTGGCTGATTAACATGCAATTAACGGTCCAAGAGTAATCAGAAGCTATGTTGAGGTTTTTAAGTACCTTGATTTGGAAAGGAGCATGTTTCCTGGAAGAATCAGACGAGAATTCCAGCGAGCAAGACTTTTCTTCTGGGTTCGGACAATTTTTGAGGTTGGCGGGTTCTTCTTCTTCTTCTCATTCACCAACTAATCGTAACGCCAAAAATGCGAAAATGAGAAATTTAGTCCAGGTTTTATCAGTGGGCCCGAAATGCAGTAATACCAAATTACCATTGCTCTAAGTACATACTAAATCGGAGTATATCCAATAAATATTTTACTTTATAAGCGCTTCGTGATAATTAGCTTCCAAACTCGGTGTTTCCGCTTGAATATTTAATGAATTATTTAATTCGTTACTAACATTGCTCCTTCCTTCTGAATTATTTATTTATTTACTCGGTATTACTCCTATTTTTAACACTATAGTAATTATCCTAAGTAAAATTAATGATATGTTTGGTACAACTAGCTAAAAATATATTTTTGTAAGCTTTTTAGTAATTATTACGTAGTATTTGCTTTTAGTGACTGAAAACATCTTAAAAAGAAAATGTGATAGTTGTTTGATAAAAATCTGATTGTTTGATTTAGTTTTATTTGATATACAAGCTTTTAAGACTAATTAATACTAAAAACCACAAACTTTTCTCAGATGCTACCTCCCGTAGCATCTCATAAAAGGTCTTTAATTTTTTGAAAAGCTCTTAAATATTGTCATGTCAAACATACAGATATAATCTTTTAAAAACTTTTTAAACAGTACAAAAGCTAAAAGGCATAAACACTTGCCTGCCAAACATGCACTAAATGTAAACACAATTGCACAAATAAGACTAAAAATGTTTTTGCGTCAACCTATTTCAGTCCCAGATAAAATCAGACCAATTCAGATCAGATCAGATCATACTCGATCAGATCGAACTAGATCAGACTTGGACAGTTATAAAACACACACATACTAGACATCTACCAAACTAGACCAGAATATTTAGTGCAAATAAAAACAAATCTTTTACAGATAGGACTAAACATTAATTTTATACTCTTAATATTCCTAAACTAATTAGTTAAATGCCCCCTAAGTGATAAGATGATAAATCAAGCACGTTGAGGGGATCAATAGAAATTTATCACACTATGGGGAAAATGGGGAAAGGTTATCACACTCGCACGGGTAGTTCAGCTGGTTGAGTGGTGAGAAATTTGGGTTAAGAGATCAAGGTTCGAATCTCGCAACGACGGTGTGAAAGTTACAGCCTTTGAAATGGAATAGACCTCCGGCGCACACGGGTATATGAGTCTACTGTCACTTCGCTGACTGAGTCATTATGATTTACATCCTCCCACGTGTTCTGTCGGGTCGGGGTGTGGGGGGTTCCGGGGCGAGAGATTCCACCATTTTTTGAATCAAGGGAAAGATTATCACACTCATATTCTTATACTCCATTACTAGATTAGTTATCACTTCTTCCCCATCATATAAAGCAGAGGAAAATATAATGTCATTAAATTGAAGCGATATATATTTATAAAATACATACGAAGTTCTACATATATTGTAGGGCGAAAAAGTAATACTCCCTCCGTCCCATATTTATCTTCGTAGTTCGGTTTACGATGCTTGACAGACGATAAAGTAACTTGATCTCTGTTCACACTCAGATTATTTTTAATAAATTAAATTTATATATTCAGAAATTACATTAAATCCGTTACAAAGTCTGATCAAAAAAATTTAAGTTTGATAAAAATTTGATATATAAAGTAAAAGATTAAGAGTAATTTGAATTGACCATGTGAATAGTAACTATGAAGATAAATATGGGACGGAGGGAGTACTGCGTACTCTTGAAGCTCAACCTAACCTCTTTTCTTGTATGCATTGTATATTGTTTTCTAACTAAAAATGGTAAAATTGGAGAAGTAGAATAGTAAACGAACTAAATTTTCAATTCTTATTGAATAATAAAAAGGAAATAATCATCAATAAAATACAATGAATCTCATTTCCATGGTTCTTTGTTTTCCAAATAAAAGGGGGCTCTAAAATGAATACCAAGAAAAATGGTGTAGAAAACAAGACCATACCAGTAAAGAGTGCAGCTCCTCTCCATTTTTTCTTCTCCATTTCCCATCCATTTCTTTTTCTCTTCCTATCTCTCTATACCTTTTTCTCTATCTTACTCATCTACATACCTCACATAAAATCCCCTCCTTTTTATCTCTCTCCCACTGGAACTCTCCAGTCACCGGAGAGGATCCAGATTCATCAGTAAAGCAACTCTTAGTTGCACGTGAAAAGTCTAAGGGATGTATTGTATTAGGAATTATTGGTAAAATTTTAAAAGTGCATGAATTTTAAAAGTTTAAGTGAATTCAAGGTGGACAGGAAACGGGCCTCCTGGGCAGGGTCGACCTTAGGAAAGTGGAGGCCCCAGACGAAAAAAAAACTAATATTCACACATTATACCAATACCCTATGTCCCGCTAAGATTGCTCCAATTTTCCTTTTCAGGAATCCCAACTAAATGATCTCATACCAAATGTGGTAAAGTTTGTGTGGCTCTAAATCATTTTTACTTTATTTTTACTTTATCAATTTAATAGCAATCACAAAAATTCACTTTTTTAATAATCGTGAGTTGTGACACGACTTCATGTCCCAATGTTAGTGGGACAGTGATATATAGTATATTTTTGTAACACTATAGTTAAGAAGAAGTTATAATTTTATTTAAAGAAAAAAAAAAGTTATAATAAACGTACTGTTTGTAAAAAAATCAAACAAAAAAAATATTGAAAATTTATTTAGGTATTATTGAAATGTACAGAGTAATTTATAAACAAAAATATTACTAAAATTATATAACCACTATATTGTTGAATGAAATTAATCATAGTTGCTCAAATTAGTACTTTTACAATCGGACATTAAAGTATAAAAAGACATACTATCTCTGTCCCAATTTTTTTTTCCATTTCATAAACTTTGAACCATGATTTTGATTAGTATAATGCTATGAAAATTATAAATTTTACTTTTTTATAGTACTTTTAATAAAAAACAATTTTATATAATTTTTATATTATAAATAATTTCCAATAAAAATACATATATAATTGGTCAAAGTTTTGAAAATGACAAATTTAGTTTTTATCCATTTTACCATATATATTGTCATTATCTCATATAAGTACTACAATCATAATACACATTAGTTTTTTTTGAACGATCATAGTACGTATTAGTTAAAAATTTACTTCAATTATTTTCGAGTGGGCTGCTAAAAGTACATTATGCAGATTACTTAATTACGGGTAAAACTATTTATCATACAAGTAGTAGTTTCTTTTAGTTAAGTAATTTGGCTTCAATTGTGAATCTCTTTCTAACAAAACGAAACTCTGAATTAACCTTAAGTCAAAAAGATAAAGCTTTTATTTAAGTTCCACAACAATCCGTCATCTTCCGGCAAGTTGACAATGTGCAGTCTGCTTTTCGAAGGCCGCTATTGGGAATTTATATGAATTGTAATTGATCGAGAGTTTTGGTCATGTAATTACATTTTTCCTTCGGTTTGCCGACTCCCAATTTTTAGCTTGCAAACCATTCAATTAACAATAATATCTAATACTTTGTATTACTCTTGTAGTTGAGGCCCCCGTGGAATCCAAGGCCCCATTGCCTGGTGAACTCCCCCCATGGCCGGCTCTGCTCTTGGGTCTGGCTTAGCTTGACTGCTACTTGGATTTGGTGACTTTGCTGGAATTGAGCCTTTATTGGCTCACAGACAACCCTAGAGGGTTTGACTCATTACTGGGCTGGCTCTTCTGAGCCAGTCCAGCTTCGTTACTTTGATTTTTGTGATAGGAGTTGGGGTTTGTACCGTGCCATTTTGGACTTTGACATAATATTCTCTCTACCTGCCAATCCCTCACAAGGGGTAGCTAGGGGGGGGGGGGTGAATGTATGTAATCGGAGTATAAGTTTTTTCCAAAATGATGCTAAATAAAAAAATATTCACGAATATGGATCATGTTAAAACTATTTACCGCCAATAGGGGAAATTCCTCAAATAGTATTTAATAAAACTTTAATCGCAAGAATATGTGTATAAATATGCAGGCCTCTGTTGCTGCTTCAACAACCCTCTCATCACCACCAGCTCCAATCACCAGAAAAAATGTCAATATGTGTTAGTAATGCCATCTTGATGGCAGTTTTTGAGAAAATTTTATTACTTTCAAAGAGTAAAAATGTCATATTCGTGACATTTTAGAGAAAAAGTTGAAGTGTTTACACAAAATGACAGTTTTTCACTGATCGGTGTTGGCAGTCTTGGGTGAAAAAGTTGACTGATTAGTCTGATAAGCTGAAACACTGTGTTACCAAACGGCCTCTTAATCCAACTCGTAAGTAATTTTTTATTTAGCACTATTTTGGATAGAAACTCATGAAAAAAGGAAGGAATGAATAAAGGAAAATTCTACCGTGCCTCTAATATTTTATAGGGTACAGTACATTGGCCTGACTGGATCAATAAGAGTGCTCCACATGGATATTTTTAACACTACGCAGTAATATAATTATTACAAGGATCTAATTTAAGATTTAATTTATTTGCACTGAAGTCCTGATTACCTTCTCAATTTTTGATGGTGAAATGTCGATCAGTTCATGAGAGATCAGATTAAGCAACTTCGATTTTCATGAACCATCTCAATTTTCTCAATTGATGTATGCATATATCCGGTTTAGATTATGACTCCGTTTGGTAAATGGCGTTTTGCCCAATCCGCTAATTCATTTGAATTACAAACCGCTGCATTTTGCAGCGGGTAGACATCGACCCGCTAGAAAACAAACGCAGCCTATATCTGAATTAGGTTTTAAGATTGTGTTTTGAAGGTCTGTAAATTATTTAATGACTCTTGGGCCATTCCTTTGACTCGTTAGTGTAGATATTGGTAAATTACGTATTAAAAGAGAGTTTTGAAGCATCAAGTTGAGGGCCGTTTTGATTGATCAAGTAAAGACCAACGATAAAGATATAATATGCATAAGTGAAAAAAAATGGTTGTAACGCGCTGGTTGAAGATAGAAAAAAAAAACTCAAACAATCCATTTATTGCTAAGTTCATCTGCGAAAATGCCTTCTCCTAAGGGCATCCTCATTGGGAGGATTATT